TACGTAGGTAGGGTGAGAGTAGGTCAGGAAGGGCCTTGAAGAGGAAGATGAGCAGCTTACGTTTGATGCAAGGGAGGCAGCAGAGGGATAACTTGATCAAAGAGGGGTAACTTGATCAAAACGACTAGTAAGGCAGATGAACTTTGCAGCGATATATTGAATTGATATGAGCAGGGCAAGATTGCATTGGTCAAGGCCAGAGAAAAGGATGTTGCAGGAATTGAGGTAAGACGATCTGAGCCTGGGTGAGAGCGATAGCTGTCTGGCCAGAGAGGAAAGGCTGTATCTTAGAGATGTTATACTGAAAGAAACTGCAAGATTTAGACAAAGGCTAGATGTGAGGACCTGACACCTTTATTTTTCCATCTCAAGCAACATTTCAAACTATATATTTTAAAGGATGTAGGCTTAAATTTTCAAAAGTGGGTGGTCATTTTGGGTGTCTCAGGTTTGGTCTGTTCAACTAGACATGCCTTAAAGGGGCCTGATTTTCAGAACGTGATGAGGCATTTGACCTCTGAAAATCTGGCCTCTTAACAGTGCTTAAAGTTGGGCACCGAAAATCACCAGTCGCTTTTGAAAGCGTTGGCCAAAACCTCATTTAATTACAATCTATTAATGTTATGCACCCAGAGGGAAGAGAGCAGACAGATTAATAGTTGCACTAGCTGCTGTCCCACTGTTAAAAATACATGGCCAAGTTCTGACTAGAATAACAGTTACAGATGCTAAACCCGTCTCTGAATTTGGTCCATATTATTTGATATAAGCATCTTAGAAATTGTTAAGTGTATACAAACACCCTCCTCTCTCCACACAGTGTGTCAATAGCAAAGGAACCCAAAACATCCAGCTCTAAAGGCATGAGCCTCTATCACTGGGGCTAAAGGAGTAACTCCATTCGCTGTCAGCTATAGTAGAATCTTATCTTTTTATGCAGACCAAACAACAGAGAGGGAGAATCCCTCTCTGTTGGGAGACATGCCTTTGGTCAGGGACAGAATGTGAATGCACACTCGGAGAGGACTTTGACAAAGCAAGCGAAAAGCATGGGACCATGTGAAGCAATGCCATTTACACATACCCAGGCAACCATACACAAACCATGGAGTTTGACCCCAGAGGTGGCTGCATTGCAATGGTGTGAAGTGGTGTATTTGTTTATTTTACACACACACACCGCTCCTCCTTATCTAGCTCAGTGATGTAGTTTAGGCTTAGTTAGCTAGTACTGGAAAGTGCTCAAGAACTTTGGACTGAAGGCACTATACAAGAACATATTATTACTTCTTAATTCATATTGTCTTTGAATTATAGCAAGCATGCTGCATTAGAACAAAGAGTGTAGTGAGACTTCAGCAATGCCAACAGCCTGAGTTAAAAAAAGAACGAGAGCTTTATTATGAATTCTTTTGCTCTTTTTAAGGGTGTCTCACAACCTTGACTTTACCTCAGCTCACAGGGTCCAATTCTGAGCGCATGGACGCCATTTTAAAACTCCATGGAATTACAGCAGTGTAAAACCAGTCTAAGTCTCAGAGCCCTTGTTTTGTTCATAGAGTAAAGCCATGTCAACTCTTGCTGACTAACAGCAGTCACATTCTTTCAAGGTTGGCGCCTCCTAAAAAGTAAACTATGAAAATATGACAAATGACCATCGTGCCCCAGGGAATTTCAGTTACCACCACTTCAGCAAAGGAGGTGCATAGCAAGCCAACAATATTTAGCATTAAGGGCGGGGGAACAATCATATTCTGAGTCCATGTTTCCTATCTATAGATTTATACGGACAAAAAGCTTAAACCTACATCCTGCATCACTTAATGGCACAACAATGAAGACACAAGACAGAGGATCCCCCTAGAAAACCTTCCCATTGAGAGAGAGAGAAGTATAAACCACCATTAGGAGTCCCAATTGTCACGGCAGATACTTACCACTTTAAAAAAAAAAAAAAGATACTTCTCTTCCACCCCAGTTTTTATGAGACGAAAGGTTGACTCCGGCTGTCTCAAAAGAGAAACAACTGCAGGATAAAGATGACATGATCTTAATGCAGATTGGTGATATAAGTTTACCCTTATTTTCACAAGTGAAAATGATTAATGGAGTACAAGCACAAAAGGCATGACTGAATTTTAACAGACTATACAGTGTGTTGAAAGGTATGATTTGTGATAGGTATTTTCTCTCTGACTCTTTCCCATCTACACATGATAGTATGCACATGGGCTACAAAATGAGCCAAAGTTCTGGCTTTAAAACAAAAAAAACAAACCAACAAAAACTCTATGATACTCCTGCACCAGCCTGTCTGTATGTGCTTCTCATTCTCTTTATTAGACAATGTCTTGGTATCTCCAATGGTGATTAGCTGCAGCTTTCAGCACCAGTTTAAACGCTCACTCATTCTTTCTACATGTGATCCATGTTCACACAGGGTTAGCAGACTAAAATTGCAATGTGTCTCTTGAAAAACATAAGAACATAAGAATGGCCATACTGGGTCAGACCAAAGGTCCATCCAGCCCAGTATCCTGTCTACTGACAGTGGCCAATACCAGGTGTCCCAGAGGGAGTGAACCTAACAGGAAATGATCTAGTGATCTCTCTCCTGTCATCCATCTCCACCCTCTGACAAACAGAGGCTAGGGACACCATTCCTTACTCATCCTGGCTAATAGCCATTAATGGACTTAACCTCCATGAATTTATCCAGTTCTCTTTTAAACCCTGTTATAGTGCTAGCCTTCATAACCTCCTCAGGCAAGGAGTTCCACAGGATGACTGTGCGCTGAGTGAAGAAGAACTTCCTTTTATTTGCTTTAAACCTGCTACCCATTAATTTCATTTGGTGGCCCCTAGTTCTTATATTATGGGAACAAGTAAATAACCTTTCCTTATTCACTTTCTCCACACCACTCATGATTTTATATACTTTTATTATATCCCCCCTTAGTCTCCTCTTTTCCAAGCTGAAAAGTCCTAGCCTCTTTACTCTCTCCTCATATGGGACCCGTTCCAAACCCCTTATCATTTTAGTTGCCCTTTTCTGAACATTTTCTAATGCCAGTATATCTTTTTTGAGATGAGGGGACCACATCTGTATGCAGTATTCAAGATATAGGCGTACCATGGATTTATACAAGGGCAATGAGATATTCTCTGTCTTATTCTCTATCCCTTTTTTAATGATTCCTAACATCCCGTTTGCTTCTTTTTTTTTTTTTTTTTGACTGTCGCTGCACACTGCGTGGACATCTTCAGAGAACTACCCATGATGACTCCACGATCTTTCTCCTGTCTTATAATTAGATTGCAAACTCTTACGGGCAGGGACTTTTTTGCGGGCTGTTTGTACAGCCCCTAGGATAATGGGGTTCTGGTCCACGAGGGGGGGCCCATAGGCATGACTGCAACACAAATAAATAATATAATAGCCGCACTGTTCCCGGAGCAGATCCGAGAATGAACAGAGGCTCGGTCACAATTTCTCCCTTGCGCTCTCCTTACCTTTCTGTGGAGCAGTTTACTTCCCCCACATGCTCAGTCAGATAATCTGGTTTGTCAGTGAGTGGGAGGCGTGGACCCAGGACTCCTTCCACACTCCTTTGTGACCCCTCCTTGCCCTCAGCTGGGGATACGGATGAGTAGTCCCTGCTCTCCACGCCAGATCTCGAGCCATAATCTGACCCTTACTTCCCTGAGTGGCTGAATAAGGGGCTCCACAGTGTTTCTGCGTATAACAGAAAGCTGGGGCATCTCTCTGCTAGCCATTTCTACAGAGCTCTTATTGCCTCTGCTGGACAGTGGCAGGGGTATGTGCATTGCCCTGGTTGTATCCCCACACCCCTATTAGTGTATACATGTGACATGGCTGTGGGTGATGGATATCTGTGGACGCTTAGCCTCTGGCTACTCTAGCATTTTCCATCCAAAGTCCATTTCCTGCAGAACAGCAACCTCACACTACCACCAGACTTTGCCGCAAAGTTTGCATTTGGATCCCAACGTTCCAGGGTGTGACGATCCAGGGGTTCGGTTAGGGTCCACTTCCACAGAAAACGAATGGTGTTATTGAATAAATCAAAAGTTGTCGGACAGCCTGTCGCTTCCTCCCCTCAGCAAACTCAATACACCAAGGAACGTTACCGTCAAACTGACAAGGATTAAAGAGCTTGTAGTGTGGGTTAGCAACAGCTGTGCTGGTGGCAGTGTAGAAGATCCCCCCAACATCTCGTAAAACCCAAATCAGGCCAGGAGAGACCACTTTCCAAATAAGTGGCTTGGTTAATGGTTTATGAAAGGCGGAGAGTGACTGGAATTACTTCAGTGCTGCTTATTATTATTTATTTAAGATAAATTGCCAGGAAACTAGGATACCTACTTTGAAGAGATTTTGACCCTGATTCAGCATTCAGATCCATAGATGCACAAAGTCCCATTCATGTTCAACTGCAGGATTTGGGCCAATAATTATAAGAAAATACACACCTGCATATTTATACTTCTCTGTTTTGAGTTAAAGGCAAAAGACCAACTCTTTTAAAAAACTGCCTTTTAATAGGATGGGGCTCTTAATGCATCAGGTGGAAACAGAAGTTCCATTGCGACCCCTTTTTTTCCCCAGAAAGAGCTGGGACAAGCAGTATCCTCTCATGTAAATACAATTATCATGTTTAATCCAGTGAAGAGTGGCTGTAGGATTGGCCTTTTCATCAGCAGATTGCAAACTGATGAAAAATGAACCTTTTGATTTTAAATTGCAGATAAAAGTCAAACATACAAAGCATCTGAGAACATGCAAAACAACCAATCATCCCCCATGCTTCCAAATCTGGCTAATTGCTTTCAGCCCCATTTTACCACTATGGAACAAGTAAGAACTCAAACAATATCGAATGGCAGTGTATCTAAACTACAACAATGGACTGCAGAATCCCTTAGAATACTGAGTTTTACTTAATCATATGATGGGACTCAGTAATTCCCAGCATTACCTAAGGAAGATGACACAACAGCTCAAGAGTAATCAGCAGTTTTGGTCCCAGCAAGAATATTTTTCTCCTTCCGATGACCATGGATCCAGAGATGGCCATCTTGTCTTCTTCCTAAAAGATTAGATGTAGATCCATAAGCAATTTACCTAGGTAAAAGTAAAATTCTGTTTCAATCGCTTTTGCTTTCCCTTTATCAGTATTGTTTATATATTTGTATTACCATAGTGTCTAGGAGCTCAAGTCATAGACTAGGATCCTATTGTGATCACGACTTTAAAATCTCATGTGTCCCAGTAACAGCATTTCAGTATCTCAAGTGCTTGAATACTCACTGTATTTGTTTTACTCCATTTCCCCCCCTCTCTCCAAAGAAACCTCATAAAACCGTTGTTACTTAGGATTCTATGTGGCAGACCAGTGCCAAATCCATGGCCGAGTGAGAATAAAATCCACAGCCTCCTCCAGAATCACAGTTTCCTGTCACATAAGCAAACACTGAATCCCCATTTGTTGTTAGCAGTATAGGGCCCTGCCACACACCTGGGCAATTCTGATTCCATTCATAGAGGGACTGATACACATGCACCCTACCCAGTTCAAGACAACATTTTTGTAGCCAGTAGTAACTTTTGGCACAGAGAGGCACATGGTTTACAAGGAAACAGAGAGAGACAAGGGTGTTTAGCCAGAGTTTTCATTGTACATAGCAGCTTGATGGCCATTTTATTTCTACATATGCCTGATTGCTACAACTAAGTGTTTATCTTTCAGGAGTGCTGATTGTTCAGGTGGCTGCTGCTGTGTTTAAAGTGGTTTCACTTCAAACAAGAACAGTTTGTTCTCACTTTATTTTTTTTAATGTAAAAGTGGGTTCTGTGCTGAAAATGTACCAAAAGATGACCATTATTTATAGCAACGGCTGTAAGATAACAGTGTTATTACATGCCGCTAACGTCTCTTCTAACGTCTCTTGGCAGTTATTTTAATGCCATATTTTATCATAGACTATCAGGGTTGGAAGGGACCTCAGGAGGTCATCTAGTCCAACCCTCTGCTCAAAGCAGGACCAATCCCCAACTAAACCATCCCAGCTAGGGCTTTGTCAAGCCTGACCTTAAAAACCTCTAAGGAAGTAGATTCCACCACCTCCCGAGGTAACCCATTCCAGTGCTTCACCACCCTCCTCGTGAAAAAGTTTTTTCCTAATATCCAGCCTAAACCTCCCCCAGTGCAACTTGAGACCATTACTCCTTGTTCTGTTATGACTCTGGAAGTTGTAGAAGATACTGCATTGGTGGCCTTTTAAATAAAAAATGATTGAATTATTCAAACTCAATAGGTTCAATTCCTGGCCAATGCAATACTTAGTGTCCGCATGTCAGATGTTAGTCATGTCTCTTGATATACAACTGGAAGGCAATAAGACACTACAGTGATCAGGGCTGTATAAACCCTATAATAAAACAGCGTAAGTCCTGTGTGTGTTCAGTTGTACTTGAAGCTCAGTGCATTATCAAGTGCTGTTCTTCACCTGTTTGTAACACACACACACGATCAAGGGGACACTGAAATTAAGTGAAATTAAATTTACTCTTCAAAACACCCTCCCAAGGCTTTTGATTAAAATCAAAATTTAATTGAAATCCATGGAATTAACGGACCCTTCTTGAATTTTTTTTAAAAATGCCAAAATAGTGAACGTGGGGGTTAGTTTCAAGTTTTGGCATCATTGGCAAGGAACAAGTGTGGGCTTTTGCAGAACAGCTCCTTAAAAAGGTGCACATAAAACCATCACACTGATAGGAGTCAGGTGCGAGCTTGGTGGAATGAGCCATTTAATCTCTCTCTTTCCAATAGCTGTTTAAATTTAACCTATTATACAATCCCACTTCTCCATCCCCATACTCTCCATCCCGTGAACTGAGGTCGTGTGTCTTGTCTAGTGTTAAGTCTATCCTGAAATGCAACCTACACAGATGCACAGCTGCATCAACGCATAACCCCATTAAGTTCAAAGGGAATCCAGGTGGGCATGGCCTGGGATGGTGTGGATCACAATGTATGAGCGGGGCCTTTCGGATTACAAGCACTTTATCATAGGGAACACGCTACACTCCATGTGTTTGTAAAACCCAGTATAAATTTAGGGCACTCTATAAATGCCTTACATTAAAATGAAAGAATTAGCCGTGCAGAAGCAGAATGTCCATTATTATTTTACCAAGAAACAGCAGAACTGCTATAGCAGTTGTCCAGTAGCTAGACAGATTGTTAGGAATCATTGGAGCTATTCCTATGCCAATAACTCAATGAATGACCCTGGGCAAGTCACTTGAGTCCAGCTTTTTTTTAAACCAGTATTTAAGTTTTACTACACTCATCATGGCCCTATCCCATGCAATTCTGCCTCGTTTAGTGAGGGGACAGCAGGATTTTGCCCCGATAAAAAAAATCCTAATGCAAGGTGACTTAAAAAGCAAAGACTTCTACCTTTGCCTAAAATATCTTAAAAGATTCCACTGCTAATAAGAAGTTAGTGGAATGAAATCTGGAAGGATCTGTGAAAGGTTCAGTTCATTTACCAATAAAAATTCCCTCTGACGGATGGGAAATATTCATTTTAATTCCATCTCTACACTAACATGCTTAAAGCAGACACGTACTAATTAGAGATTCTTTTCCCTTAGCTTTGTTGTATAGTTTTTCTATATTAATGGACTGAGAAGCCAGTAGAACCATTCATCATCAGTGCTCCTGATAAATATTTAAATCGAATATTCAGAGGGTTCAATAGCTCCTCTACTCTAAATACAAGGATCATTCAAATGCTGAAGCTGGTGGTATAATTGGGTCCTCCAGCCTGCTGGACAATATTTCAGCTGAGCATGAAGTGACAGAAAACCTCACTTAATAAATAGCATAAAGGCTCTTGTGAGAAGCTGTGAAAGTTTTATACAACTCTTATTGGCAAGCTTGCTGCAGTAGGTAATAATAATACCTTGCACTTAAAGTGCTTTACAGACATAATTTAACTTGGCGATACCTTGTGAGCTAGTTAAGTATTATTGGACCCATTTAAAAGATGGTTGCTCAGATGCACACAGAGCTTGAGTCAAATTTTCAAAGTGCCGGAGTGATTAGGCTTCTAAGTCCCATTTTCAAAAGTGACAGGCTCCTAAGTGACTTACAGTAACATTTTCAGAAGTGACCAAGGCCCAGATTTGAAAAGGTATTTAGGCATTGCTGCACTTCCTCTTTGTGTTTTCACTCTCTCTCTGCATTTGAGATGCTCAGTGACACTCTTTGTTGCAGGCACATCATTCCACTTAACTGAGCTCCTCATTAATTCACTGCTAGGGGTCAAGCCAGGAATCTGTGACTATATTTCTGTCCCCCGCACCTTCTATCCTCTTATTTATTATTTGGTTCCCATAACATTCAGCAGAAGTGCTATCACTCAGTTGTCCTTATCATGTGGAAAATGAAAAGTGCATCTGAGATGAAACAAACACCTTCAAGCCATTTAGAATTTGAGAAATATTTATGTTGGAGAAGGAGATCACCTGCATTTGTTTCCAAAGATGAGCTAATGGGAGGGCAGGCCAAATATTTCAGGCTTAGCATGAAGTGCCGATTATTTTATGCTTCCATTCTACTAGTGTGAAAAATAATTGACTGGGGCCCTAGATCCATAACACAACAACAAGCATTTATGATGCAGAAAACAAGATTATATAGGTAGAATTAAGATGGGGTTTAGCTTCAGTTCTTTGGTGAGTTTCCCAGGAGTTTCGGATCCATGAACTTTCTTAACACCCGCCAGTGTGTTGAGGAGCTTGAAGAGTTTAAATGATCCCAAATTGATGGACACGAGATGTTCACGGAATAAAATAATGTATCTGTTTTATGACATTGTGGGGCGCAATCCAGACCAGTGAGGGGCTGTGTCACCCTTGCCCTGCAATCTTGGGTGCCTCACAATGCTTTGCTGCTGTAGCTGCCAAACTGGGCTCCTCACAAGCAGCCAAACAGCATGCAGGTCACACCCTGAGTGTCTGTGCATAGCCACAGCCCTGGTCCCGCAACTCTGACCCAGCAACCTGTCACCAACACACCAGCCCCACACTGGCTTCCAGCAGCCTTGATATCTACTTGCAGGGTAACCCCCAACACACACTTAGTTCCAATTCCTCCCCCATCCAGTTCACAACACTGGATAGATTTTGATTAAAGAATCAGACATGTTTATTTAGCTACAAAGAGAGAGATTTTAATTGACTACAAGTAGAAGGCATTAAAGTCAGAAATAGTCACAAGAAAAATAAAGATAAAATGCTTCCTAAGACTGCTAAAGTAATCAAGTCTAGTTTAAGGTGAAATTCTTACCACTGGGTCCCAATAACACTGCCAACCAACTCTCAGGCCAGGATCTGCTCCCAAAGTACAACAGTTGTTTCATTTGTTTCCTTAGGTGAAAGACAGAGACCTAGGGAGTGATAACTTGGGGTGTTTTGCCCCTCATTTTTATAGTTTAGTCACCCTTGAAATGCATTTTCCTGAGGGTTACCCCCAGACAGGGGTGAGTGCAAAGGGGGCGGAGGGAAGCAGCAGCATGGCTCCCCAATCTGTGGGGGCACAGAACTTCTCCTTGGCCGGGGCCGGAAGAGCAAGCTCTTCCAGCCCCATGCTGGGGTGGAGATGACAGCTCCTCCAGCCCTGGGGCTGAAGCTGAAGGGGGAGATCCAGCTTCTCTGGCTGCCAAGGGAGACTGAGCTCCACTGGCCCTAGGGGTGGTGCGGGGGGATATGGAAGAACCAGGTCCTCCAGAGCCACGGAGGGGAGAGCCAGCTTCTCTGGCCGTGGGGAGCACCAAAAGTGCCCCTCCAAAAATGGCCACATTTTTATTCCTGTGCATACCCCTTCCCCCAGATAAAATTCTTTCCCACTGTGAGGACAGAGACAAGGAGTCTGGTGGTGGTAGAGGTCCCATGCTGTTGGCTGCTAAGAGGCAGATCTGTTTATTCTTGTCCCCTTCCTTGCCAAAGAATGGCCAATTGAAAGGATAGGTGATTGCCCATCAGCTTTGATGACACCTGGCTAGAGGTACCAGC